TAAAATACAAAGAATTGAAAATGATTTAATAATGATACAAGAAAAAAGCCCAGAAGCAGAGCTTAAACAGTTTAAAAAAACAAAGGAAGCTGACTACAAGACTTACAATGTAGATAATATAAAACAAAGAATTGAAAATGAAGCCACAATGATGCAATTCAGATTCATGGAATTTGCGGTCAGAATAAGGGGAATACAGGAAGATAAAAGACAAGATTTGAGAAAGGTGTCTGCTGAGGTTCTGGCTGGGATTTTAAAGGTTAGTCCTGAAGAGGTATCCTGCAAGATCGATAAGGCTTACAGAGTTAATTCCTGGGTGGCAAAACAAAGGCAGCTGCCTAGAGATGTGGTGATCTACTTTACTGATAAAGAAATAAGAAATGATATCGTGCAAAAGTCTTTTAATTCTACTCTTGAAATGCATGGAAGGAAGATTTGGATATTTAAAGAGCTGCCATCCAAGATGTTAAAAGACAGAAAGAATTTTGGTTTTTTGGTGACTGAGCTAAAAAAACAAAACATCCCATTTAGGTGGGATGTTCCAGTTGGTATAATATTCAGATATCAAGGAGAAAGATATCAATTAAATACTGTTGAAAAAGCGGAAGAATTTTACTATAAGGTTCTTAAAATGGGTTCAACATCTCCATGTATAACACACGAGGGGAATGAAGAAAAGCAAAATAAACAAGAGATTGAAATCTAGACTAAGCAGATGGAGGTGGAGGTAATGGAAAAACAACAAGCTACAGAGGCTTTTGTGGATGACTCGCTTTTGGATTCTCCTTCAGAGGTTACAGTTGGACTATCTATAAATACAAGAGAGACAGTTTTGGATTCTAATGTGATGACTTATCAAAGTTCATACCAGCATGGAAATCAATCACTTGATACACAACTCATAGAAAGGAAACCAGGATGGAGATCTAAGCCACAAAAAGTTAAGAAAAGAAGAAGCAGGTCCTACAAAAATAAAAATTTTTAGACTAAACAACAGTGTAATGCCAGTTACGTAAGAGACGATTGAATATATGAAAATATAGTTGAGGCAAAGTATTGGTTCATACTATTTTGATGAGAGTGACAGACTTCTGCAGTGCTGTACTTTTGGGATGTGGAAGATGGCCTTAAATTGAGTGGATTGGAACTTTCTATCTTGGACTCTTTGATAAATGGATTACGTTTATGTTGAGCTATAAGGCAAGAGAACTATGGGATTGGGGCACGCAGAAGATCTGGCTGTTACCCCAACACGGTGGTTGGAAATAATAATCTAGATGGAAGACATTATAGACGACACTATATGGAATATAAACATAAAGTCACTCGGGTGGTTTTTTTATATATGAAAACATTTACTATTGATGGGGGCAGATGGTAACTGAAGATACCGAACATACTGTTGAAATTAGGATGTGATGTTACCCTAACATGGGTAATGGAATTAACAAACCAGTTGAGAGACATTACAGAAGATATCATATGGATTACAAATTTAAAGTCATTTGAGGATTTTATATATATGTAAATATTTTTTTTTTTAGTGGTGTGGGCAGAAGAATAAAGATATTGCAAATATTATGTATGGTAGACCTGTAGGAAAGTGGGTGGAGATAGGTTAGTTTATGGATTGTCTAGTTTAGGAAGGGATGTTATGTTATATCAATATATGTAAAAGATTTGAATTAAGAGATATATGTATGGGGGAGGATGAGTTGAAATTGTTAAATTAGGATTTATTATATAATTTTATAGCTGAATGTTGCCTTGAAATGTATAGTAATAGGGGGATATAATAATATTGTTAGAAGGGTGGAGAACTGATTGTTTAGTTTAGGAAAAAGGATGTTATTAATATACATAAAAGATTTGAATTAAGAGATATATGCATGGAGAGGAGGAAATGGATAGATAATGAGCTGAATAGATGAAATTGCTAAATTATGATTTATTATATAATTTTACAGTTGAATGTTGCTTTGAAATGTATAGTATAAGGGGGATATAATAATATTGTTAGAAAGAAAGGGTTAGTATGTGGGGGGTGGAGTAAAAAGATGGTAAAATATTATATAATCTGTTATTAACTTGGGTTTTATTTTGGAGAAGCCACAGGGGGAGGGGGAGGGGGGTTAGGGAGGAGGGGGGGAAAGGGGGGAAAATTTATATTTGAAAAACTTTTTCAATTAAAAAAAAAAGAAATACGATTCAATAAAAATGTTTACCAACCTGAAGATCCTGCCTGTTCAAATGTGTTTCTTTGGTCATCTTCATCACAGCACTTCTCATGATGTGGCCTCATTCGGGTCACCAGGCCTTGCATTTCTTTGTTGCAGTGTTTGCAGTTTGCACGCATGCCTGCCTTACCGATAGGTAAAGGAACGTCATTAAAATATTGCCAAACTGGGTCTCTCTTATGGCCTGCTGCCATTATAGGTTTTTTCCTCCAAGGAAAGAATGTGATAAACCTCAGGTCATACACACAAAAAGATCCAAAGACTTGTCTGTCTGTGGCTGTGCAGTATTGTGCTCAGAAAGTTTCACTTTAATTTTGTACTGCTTGTCTGCTTGCCCCTTCCTCCTCACACTTAGTTTCACTTTCTTCTTGTGCAGATCTATTCCACTCCAAACAATCAGAAAAATATTGTTTCTATTCTATTCACTGAACTTCTTGAAATTTAGCACTAAGAGGTTGATTCTGTATTCATAGGTTTATAGAACAATAGGATTAAGGTCTTTTTCTCAACTCTGTTCATTTTATAACATTTTTGCTGTGAAGAAGAGGCATGTGATCTCTGCTGAGTCAAATTCAGTTTTGAGAACTGCAAAGTAAACCAATAGGCAGAGAAACTGCCCATTAATCTTACAAAAACCTCTGGAAGAGCATGACATTGTGAATGGATTAATGGAGTTTATTTACCAAAAAAATTAAACATATACAGCCTTATTCTACATAATTAAAAAACTAATCTTTATTTCATGATGGAATAACCTTTGGATGGTAATATATTTTCCTCAAAAAGCATTTTCTTTAAAAAAAATCTGATTTAAATAAAAAAAATACGATTTAAATAAAAAAAATCTGATTTTTTTTATTTTTTTAAAAAAAATCATTGATTTTTATCCACCCTGCTACAGAATTTGGGCTTTTCTTGTGTTATGGAGTTCTGACCAAAATTCACTGAAGGGATCACTAACCTTTCTGTTCGAAAGGAATGTGTCAGATTTCTCTTAATTAGTTAAGCAAGAAACTATAAGAATATACAGTACAAGGACACTAAAGCTTTATAAGGAGATTTATTGTAGAAAAGTTAAGAAAGCCATTAATGAAAAAACTCCAGTGACTGTTATTCATCAAGTGCAAGTATTTACAGTAAAATTAAGATTTAAATTCTTATTATTGCTCCTTGTTGCAGCTACTCTCTTTTGAGTAAAAAGTACAGTTTTCACCTGTCTTTTGTTTTGATAACAGGCCAATCTTGCATCAGTTATTTCCTTAGAATCTTTTCAGTATTGGCTCTTTCAGAAAGTATAACTGGCACAGGTTTCACTAGGGCTAATATAATTAAAAATATATATGTTTTGTCTTAAATATATTATGTTCTATTCATAAAGTGTAATGTGAAAACCTCATCTGATGTTAACTTTTATGAGGTTATCTGGTAAGAACCTGGCAAACGGAAGATTGTGATATGGAATATCAATGATAAAAAGCATTAATTAATTAATTCAAGAAAAGGGAAATATGTTGATATGTTGGCTTCATATGATCTAAGAGAAATGAGATGTAAATGAAGATAGTCTGAATGGAATTGAATGAAAATATCCCTGAATGTTGGTATATACGTGTGTGTGTGTGTGTGTGTGTGTGTGTGTGTGTGTGTGTGTTTGTAAATGATAGGCCATATTTTTCATAGTTTCAAGGTACGTCTTGAGGGAAATAGGGAGTGAAGAAAAGAAGTGTTCTGCGTTAAAAAGCCTAAGAAGATTGATTAATCTCCCAATATAATGGAAAATAGACATTAGATGGTTAGAGCATTTTTGCAGCATCAGATATTCCTTTTTCCTCTGGACATGTCAGCACCTGGACATTCCTTCAATTTTAATTCAGATATATTATAAGCGTCAGTACTACTTGTATTCACCCCAGATCTTCTGACTGTGTCATTTTACCATATCAGATTATCATTGTCTTAATTATGAATGTCAATTTGATTTTCTTGGCATAAACCTGGTGTAGCTTGCCATCTTCTCTGAGAGGGGCATACTTAGCTGAATAGCAATAACAAAAACACTTAGACTTATATACCATTTCACAGTGCTTTACAGCCCTCTCTAAGGTTAGGGTTAGGTAACCCTAACCTGACCTCGGAAGGATGGAAGGCTGAGTCAGTGAGAATTGAACTGCTGACAGTCGACATAATTAGCCTGCAATACTGCATTCTACCTACTGCACCACCACGGCTCTTTCATGTAGGCCCCAGTATAATTTAAAAATAGCTTATGAAGAAGTGCAAACTCCTTAACCCTATACGATAATGATCTATGTAGGGATGTTTATTCTTTTAAAAAAAAGTGGGTGGATAGATATTCAATCAGATAATAGTACCAGGCTGATCTTTTTGGGCTTAGAAGGTAGAAAGATTCAGATCTGGTTAGCATTTAGATGGTAAGCCAGGAAGTAGAGGATCAACGGTTAAACAGGGAAAATGAAAAAAAATCCAAAATGAGGGTATTGGCAAACCATTTCTGAATAGTTTCCAAAAATACTGCATGGATATATGCAACAAATTATTAAAAGTGAATTTCAGCTTTGTAAGGACATTATCATATGTATATAGACCCTAGTTCAATTTTACTACATATAATTCTATTCTATTCTATTTCCAAAGAAACTACAACCAGAATAAATCTCAAAGACTTTAAATAGTGTATCTGCTTGTATTCTCAGTCGCTGTTTAATTCTTGTGATCACATTTGAACCTCCATTTCTCTCACAGGTCTGGATGTGTGGAGGTGGCATGTTTGACGTTCCATGTTCTAGAGTTGGGCACATCTATAGGAAATATGTTCCCTATAAAGTTCCATCTGGTACCAGTTTAGCAAGGGTAAGTTTTTGGACTTTAGTAACTCTCTGACTTTAAAAAGTCTACATTACTTTTTTGCTTTATTTTAAGTAATAGTCAAATATCACATTCCCAACTTCCAATCTTAGGAATAAGAAATCACCTTTAAGGGATATTTTAGAAAGATTAATTTATGGGCCCTGATACAGAATAGCTGCCATAATAGAAATGGCCAGTCACAAAAGTACACATTTACTAGAAGGAAAGCTGGTAATTACTAATTGTCTAGCCTTTAAAGATGATCTCCATTATATCAGCTGCCTTTTTTATTTTCTGGACAAGTGGAAGCAGTTCTGTGACCAGGAGTGCCTGTTGTCAGCTTTAATCTAAATATCAGCCTTGCCTTTTAATGGATCGGGATAGTCTAATACATCATATACTAGTACCTCATGTTTACATTTAATTTTAATTGAAAAGGTTTCACAGAAATAAAAGAGAAAGGTGAAATAATATAAGAAAAAGAGTAAGAAAAAGAAAAATAGAAAGAAATTCAACATGGGAAACATGAGTTGTTTTTTATAATTATAAAACCAAAAAGAAAATGCGGATGACCATACCACAACAGTACTTTTATTGGCATCCTGTCAAAAATCCTGTACAAAATATTTTCTCCATTTCACTAAATTCCATAAATGTAGTATGGAACACATTTGTAGAATACACACATACACACACACAAAGATTGGTCCATTGATTCCCAACTATACAATGGAAAAAAACAAACATTGGCAAGATGAGATTTTTGAAGGCTTTCTGGTTTCTTATAGTGGCCCAACAATGCAAGATTTACTTCACTGGCAATGGAAGGTAGGCCTATCTCCATCTTAGATAAGAAACACCCTGGGGACTCCCCAAAATATTCTTATGAATTAATTTTGATATACTTCCAACTGGGCAAGATTGGAAGTACATCAAATACTTCCCATACCCATATCGCAGCCTGATCCTGCATACGGGTTTTTACCTTGCCCTGGAATATTTTAAGTTTAGTGGCCTGTGGCCTAAGGAAATGAGGAAGAAATTAAGTCACATGCAAAAGAAGATGAAGTTGTTGTTCATTCCACATATTTAGACAAGAGATATGTAATTTTTTTATTGGCAAAACAGCTTTCTCCTTTCTTCCTTCCTTCCTTCCTTCCTTCCTTCCTTCCTTCCTTCCTTCCTTCCTTTTTATATAATACCCTTAATAGTACTGGTCTTTGGTTGAGTCACTTCTCTTTTTATGTTTCATTTTCTGGGAACAATGACTTTTCAAACTTTCTATTTTTTTTTTATTGAAAAAGTTTTACAAATACATTTTCACCCCAATTTCCCCCCTAACCCTCCCTAACCCCCCTCTAACCCTCCCTAACCCCCCCTAACCCTCCCCTCCCCCCTGGACTTCCACAAAATATAATCCAAATCAAGCCCACATTTTATAAAACTTGAACCCCTCCACCCCCTATATATTATTCAAATCTTCACAAAATTCAGTTATTCTATCCCTGTATAATGCATTCAGTTAAAAGCTATCTGATATTTCCTAGTTTGATATTTATTCTGCACATAATCTATCCACTTTTTCCACTCCCATACATAAGTCTCTTGTGTCCGATCTTTTAGATATGCTGAAATCTTCGCCATCTCTGCAAAATTAGCCATCTTCAAAGTCCATTCTTCAATAGTGGGCATAGCTTCATTTTTCCAATATTGACCTATCAACAACCTCGCTGCTGTTACCATATACAATATCAATTTTGTTTCACCCACTGAAAAACCCTTAACTATAGCCAGTAAAAACAATTGAGGAGAAAATTGAATTTTTTTCCTTAAAACATTTTGCATAACCCACCAAATTTTTATCCAAAAAGCTTTTGCTTTCTTGCATGTCCACCATATATGATAATATGTAGCATCTAAGCAATCACATCTCCAACATTTCGGTTGAACATTAGGATACATGCATGACAATTTCTTAGGATCTAAATGCCACCTATAAAACATTTTATAGAAGTTTTCCCTCAAATTCTGCGACTGTGTAAATTTAACATTCTGAACCCATATTTTTTCCCATGTTTCCAACATCACTGGTTCTGCAAAATTTTGTGCCCACTTTATCATACAATCTTTAACCAGTTCAGTTTCTGAGTCCCTTTCTAGCAAAACATTATAAACCCTTTTAATATGCATTGGACCTTTCTCTTTTATATATCTAACCAATTCTTCTTCATACATCATTATACCAGTTTTTTGGTCCTCTTTCCATCTCAATTGAAGTTGATTATACTGTAACCAAGTTAAATTAATCCCTTCTTCCAACAGCGTTTCAATTGCCATCTGCCCGCATCTGTAAAAAGAACTTCTTTATATAAAAACTTTTCAAACTTTCTAAACCACTGCCTGTTCTTGCTTCCACTTTCACTGCAATCAATTTTCCTCTTTTTGTTGTTGGTGTCCAACCTGTCCTTTGCCCACTCTTTTCTAACCTAGCCTCTTTAGGCAGAAACAACTTGATTCCTAGAATCATCTGCACAGCATCACTCCTATGGCAAACTGTTATGATCTAGGTTGCCTAGGCAGAGGATGGCGATAGAGTCATTTATTGCTTTGATTAAGTGCCAACAACACCCAGCCCTACAACGGCCTGTAGAGGCTTCACCCCACCCTCAGTCCCCCAAACAAAAGCTAGTAAACAACAAAGAAAGTCCACAGGTGGAAGCTCACAAGACAAGGTCCAGAGTCCAAGTTCACAAGGCAAAGCAAGTCCACAGGGCAAAAGGCAGTCCGCAAGGCAAAGGCAAGGCACAGGTAAGAATGGTAACGATTTAAAGCTGGGGGAGTGTAAGCCAAAACAAACAATTGTTCCTGACAAAGGCTAACTCCCCTCCCCACTTTCTCCTTAAGTCAATCGACACCAGGTATTCCTTTTGAGGAGGGGCAGGGTCTCTCAGCCCTCATTTGAGCTTGTCTCCACTCTACTCTCTGTGCCCTTGGATAGAGAGAGGGAGGCAGTTGTTCCTCATCAGAGGGGATCTGCTGCCTCTTAGCACCACTGCCTGTCTGCAGCTGATCCTCCCCTGGATCTGTGAGGGCAGGCAGCTCTCCATCCAATCAACCACCTTCCCCAATTCCTGAGGGCCCTGGAATAGCATCATCCTCAGCTCCTGGCCTCTCCAATATTACAAGGGAGATATGCTATCCCTGTAGGAATGTCTCCAGTTCCAATTCCTCCTCCTCCTCCAAACCGGGCTCCAAAGGGGCAAAGTCACAAAGCATGCCCAAACCTACTTTTAGTTTGTCTTTCTGAATGGTCTCAAAAGTCCAGCTGTTGTAAGCCTACTACTTCAAGCAAGGCCCAGTAGAATTATTGTACGGTTCCAATTATTGTATGGTTCTGCATTACAATTATGTAGAAGAGGTGGCGGGGGTGTGTGTGCATATTTTTTATCTTTTGTCTCCCTAGCCTTCTCTGGCCCCAATATTTAAGTCTAATAGCATAGAAATGTCTCTTGTTTCTGTAAAATAATAACAAAATGTGAACAAGAAGTCATTTAGGAAAAAGCATTCACAGAAGATCGTTTCTTAAGCCGCTTTATGTACCCTTGTGCAATTCCTGAACATGTTTTTTTATATTATTGAGACAAAGCAACTGAAAGAACTGAAATGTTCTTTATTTGTTCTGCCTCTTCTTCTTTATCCATTCAGATCAGTCTTACTTTTTGGAGATTTCTAGCTTTATTTAGAAATTTGAAGCAGAGCAGATTACTAAAATCCAGGGAAGTTGCTTCTAAACAAACCCAGGCACCAACCCTAGTACAGTAGGAGAACTGTTCTAACCAGAAGTGTTATTTAAGCCACGTTAGATTTTTTCATTGTTTATTTCTTTCAGAACTTATTTCATGTCTTTGATACCTGTCTTTTCTACTGAAGAGATAACAGAACAAAGATTGCAAATAGTAGTTTGGAAGTGGAGCTGGATAATTCATTTATTTTCAAAATCTCCTCTGGAAAAAAAATTCTTTAATCTAAATCTAGTGAAGCAACAGCTGCAGCAACTATGAAAGTGAAACTTATTTAATGGGAGGTAAGACAGGGATAGGAAAAATCCCCAGCAGCTATTACATTTAGCTTCTGTTTTAGCGTTGGTTCCTTCAGCTTACAGTTGAATTCCACATTAGATAAATTATTTAACCATGGCCAGTTCTTTCATTTGACAGAATGAGGTAATGATCTCAGATGTTAGGTGAAAGAGTCCCCATATATGAACTAGCAATAGAAGCCTAACACAGCTATGTAGGATGAGCTGCTGACTATGAAACAGAAAGTCTGGCAATCATCTGAGCACATTTTAGACACAATCCATACAACTCAGCTTCTCACTCTCCTCATCTCCCCCATGCTGGAAGGGAATTTTGAGAGGTGCAGAAGTTTTGAGGATGCCATGGAAGTAAGGCTGTACACACAAAGAATGGGAAATTGTGTACTGTATATGTGTTCCTGGAGTACAACTAAAGCTAAAATGAAATTGCAATGTCTAACCCTTCATAGTTGTATGTCTAACCATTTTCCATATACAAATATCTTTATATACATAAATATAGTATTTTTAATTCAAAATATGTCAGGAGCATATATGTCTTCCTCAATCATGGGTCTCCTACCAGAGACCTGGAAGTTTGATGATTATGGGCAGTATCTGAACTGCTCCTAACACTGCACTCTTCTGCCAGAGAACTCTGTCATTGTTCCTGTGATCTGTGAAGCCATTCCCCAGTTTAGGAGTCACAACCCCAAGTGCTGCCTACCACCATATGGAGCACTTTGGCTTTTACTTTCCATCATGTCTCTAGTTCATCCTTCAAATCTTGCTACTTTTCTAGCTTCTCATATTCCTTCCTCCTTATGTTGCTATCACTTGGCACGGCTACATTTATCACCACTGCTGTGTTCTGTTCCTTATCTACTGCCAAAATATCTGGTTGGTTGGCCATTACCTGCTGTCCATCTAGGTCTGAAAATCTCACAAGATATCAGTGTTCTTACTGTCCACAACTATCTGTGGAATCTCCCATCTGGACTTGGGAGGGTCTAGTCTAGCCCATACACTGTGCAGATACTCATGTACAAAATGCCAACTCATTGGCTATGCTGCCCAGTGTATGATGTTCCTGCCTGTATCTTACACCCTGTCACTGTGTGTCAAATTGTTTCTGAGGTTCTATGTATAGTCTACACCTTTGGTCCTGTGTGGTAGACCTGTGCTTCTATGGATCTGGTGCTTAGTACCTATTCTTTTGCATGAGTATTTTAGTCCAGCCCTTTCCAATCACCAATAGAATTTTCCAGTGTCTGCCAGCTGTGCTATGTGATGATGGTACATCCCATATAGGTCTTTGTCTTACTGTGGAATTTGGGAACCAGTAACAGAACAGAATAACAGAGTTGGTAGGGATCTTGGAGATGTTCTAGTCCAACCCCCTGCTCAAGCAGAAAACTCTGTACCATTTCAGACAAGTGGCTGTCCAGTCTTAAGAGCCTCCAGTGATGAAGCACCCACAACTTCTGAACGCAAGCTGTTCCACTGGTTTATTTTTCTTACTGTCAGGAAGTTTCTCCTTAATTTTAGGTTGCTTCTCTCCTTGGTTAGTTTCCATCCATTGTTTCTTGTCTTGCCCTCTGGTGCTTTGGAAAATAAATTGACCCTTCTTCTTTATGGCAGCCTCTCAAATACTGGAATACTGCTATCATGTCATCCCTAGTTTTTTTTTTTTTTTTTTCTGTCTAGGCTGGCCATATCCAATTCCTGCAACCATTCTTCATTTTTTGCTTTGGAAAATAGGTTAACCCCTTCTTCTTTGTGGCTACTTCTGGTAGGAAGTACTCAACTATTGGAACACTGCTATCATATCATCCCTAGTCTTTTCACTAGATAAGCTATATCCAATTCCTGCACCCATTCTTTATATGTTTTAGTCTGCAGGCACTTTTCCACTACTCAGCCCAGTTGCCAGTCCACTGTGCCCTCGATGATATCCTTTTGCATTTTGGGGTTCGGGCATGCATGCATTCGCACACTTTGGGCACTTGGTTTGGAAAAAGTTAGCCATCACTGTCCTAGGCCAATAAAATCAAGCTGACATTCAGTCACAACCATATTTATTACCCAAAATTTCCAGTATTAACATTCTATTCTGTAAACGAAAACCTATATAATGCATATTCTGTCAATTTCAGATTGAAATTGACCAGAAAACCTGTCAGCTTTTTGCTATTCTCCATCATTTGTTGGAGCATGAACTTGAATAACTACAGTATCATATCCAAAGGTTATCCATGAAATCTAAGACCAGATATTATTTGGACATGGACTTCACTGTATCTGAATACTATATTTCTATATCTATTTCTATATTTGCTATGAAAACATAATTGGAGAAGAAAACATTTATTTGTTTTTGCTGCCCATAGTAGTAAACAGTATGCTTTTCTGACTAAATATATTCAATTCTAGTCCACTTTAATTCTGTTGATGCTTTCAATCAATTTATAGTTGATTCATTTCATCTACACTGTGACTTTTTCATGTTTATTCTTATGTTTCATGTTCCCACTGGAATCCCACTGTTTCTGTAGGAAAACAAAGCCCCTATATATATTTTATTTGTCAGCACCAACGTGGGATATCCAGAAATCTGTCATAAACCTCATTAGTACTCTTAAAGATGCATACCTTTTGCTCAGTAACATGTTAAGTACCATCTGACCTGAGCAGACCATCATGCTATATTGTCAGTCACTTTCTTTGATCTATGAACATGGGTTTACCATGAACATGGTAAAATGCAGAAGTGGTTTATCATCACTTTCTCCCTCACAATGTGAAATTATGTATTTGTGATTGTCATTCAAGTCATCGTCCACCTCCAGCATCTTCCTTTGACACTGCTCCCAATAAAGATGCTTGCTTGCTTGCTTTTGCTGGTCAGCTGGGTTGCCTTGGATAATCCTACCGGAAGTATGTACTCTTGTGATACACTCTTGGTATTCTTTGCTCATCCCTCCCCAGAACCCCACCATGATCAAGTAATATAGCAGAACTTGCAGGTGTCTCTGTGCTTGGAATGTTTAAACATAAAAGTAACCTCAACAGAAATCAATGCCTTGTCTTTGAAAACAGGAGCTTGGGTTGTTGAAAGCAGTGATCAAACTACTGTCCCTTTGTGCACAGACTTCTCATCTGCTTCCTTTTTCAAAGATACTTTTGAAGCTCTTCACTCAACTGTAGTTGGCAATTTTAAAAGCACTGTACTTATTAAAAACCTGTCATCTCTCCTGGCTGTATATTTCTTTCTCTGCCATTGCAGACACCAACAACATGCTTCATTTGAATGGCCTATGTTGTTGCTTTGTTTCCCCTTCCTTCCTCTGGTCTTAGTGAAAGGCATTTTCCTCTCTCTTTATTTTGCTAGCTGCTTTTCTCAGTCCCTCAGTCTTCCGTGCAGTTTCGTGCAGTTCTTCCATCTCTTTGAACTATGAGAATTCTGCTGAGCAAGAATATCTCTGTTCCCATTCTTTTATTGTTTGCTTTACTCCTGAGGCAATATTTCTATTGTTTTATTTAAGTTCTTTTCTACTCTTTATTTTTTCCTACGCTTCCTTTTCTCTTTCTTCCTTGTTGCGATACCTTTTTCATAGTTAACTAATTCTAGTTAATCACAATCCTCCACTTGCTTTTTCTCATGCACACACCACTCATTCCCTTTTGTATCTGCATTTGTTTCTTGAGAGAAAAGTTCCTCGCTTAAGAGATATCTAAATCTAATGTCATCTTTAGCCATTAGAAGGCAACAATGGTAAAATTCCAAAATCTTTTGTCAAGAAAACTTCAGGGACTAATTCTGGCAGCCATCAGAAGTCAATTGATTCAGATACATGCATGTGTATATAAACAAATAAACAAATAAATCCTTACATCTGCTGTCTCTTCCCTTAATCTCTACCACTTGTTTACTTTGACCTATCCCTGGAGATCCTATTCAATCAGTTTCATTAATAACTGCATCAATCTGGCAACCTCTTTGCATCACAATCTTTGCATCAATGTTTTTAATTATTTCAAAACTTTAATTGCAGCTCAAGTTTGCAGGAACAAGAATGTTCAAATATCAGCTTATTTAATGGAACTCATTTTGCATAATATAAGCCACCAATGTATCCCTATGGCAGGGGTGAAATGCTCCCGGTTCAGACCGGATCGCCCTATCCAGTAGCGATGGCAGCGGGTGGTTTGGAGAACCGGTAGCAAAAATCCCTGCCCCCCCCAATGTCCAGATGAGCTGCGTGATCATCAGAGGCTGTTTTTTTTTACTTTTAAAAGCATTTTTTCCTTCAACCTCTTCGGATGAAAAAATGCTTTTAAAAGTTTTTTTAAAAGCCTCTGATGATTACACAGCTCAGCTGGGATCATCAGAGGCTTTTAAAAGCATTTTTTCTGCAATCTCTTCAGCCGAAGAGGTTGTAGGAAAAAAAATGCCTTTAAAAGCCTCTGGCGATCCCAGCTGAGTTGCCTAATCATCAGAGGCTTCTAAAAGCATTTTTTTCTGCAACCTCTTAAGGTTGTAGAAAAAATGCTTTTAAAAGTAAAAAAAAAAAAGTTGGCCACGCCTACCCAGTCACATTACCCACCCAAGCCACACCCACAGAACTGGTAGTAACAATTTTACATTTCACCACTGCCCTATAGATACCACACAATGCACAATATACCCGTTGGTCAAAACTAAAACCAGGAAAAGAAAGATGGAAGTGAGAGTTTAATTAATTGAGTCTCTGAAAAGGCAAAAAAAAAAAAAATTTTTTTTAATGCCAGGTAAATGGAGCTTCAAATAAATGTATTGTGATTCAGTCTGAATTCTAAATAATTAATCTAAAGTTTAACAATTTTCTGCCTGCAATCAATGCAGAAAATCAACTACATTTTTCTTTTACTAAGTAACAAGTGAAAATAGAATTGGTAGTAGCATTCTATTGAAACCATTAATTGAGGTTTTACTGTTATTTGGTTAATTAAACCCCTTTCAGTAATTGCAGTAAGGAGGAGTGCTGTTGCTGAAGTTGCTTAAGAAGCTATCACTCTTTCCTTAAAAGCTATTTGCTAATGCATCTACATCTGGTTAAGAGAATGATGTTCTATAACTTTTAGGGTATATCAAAGATAACAACAATCACTTGGAAGAAAGATTTTTCTGCATGCAAACAATGTAGAAAATCAACTAAGCCTCTTGCTTTTTGTTGTTTAGAACCTGAAACGTGTGGCAGAAACTTGGATGGATGAGTTTGCTGAATATGTTTATCAGAGGCGACCTGAATACAGACATCTTTCCACTGGTGATATTTCAGCCCAGAAAGAGCTTCGCAAGCATCTCAAGTGCAAGGATTTCAAGTGGTTCATGGCTGCAGTGGCCTGGGATGTCCCCAAATATTTTCCACCAGTGGAGCCACCACCTGCTTCCTGGGGAGAGGTGAGGAACATACTTAAATCCAGGATTCAGCCTAATCTTATCTTTATTCAAAATAGTCAGATATACAGCTATGCATTTTCAGCAAAGCCATTATGACCATGGTACAGCTTTCACAAAATCAGCTTTAACTTTCATGGTCAGTGACTAGGCCTCTGGAACTACCTAAGAATCAATTGTTGACTGGTAAAACTATTTCATTTGTTCCATTATCATTTATCTGTACATACACAAAAATGTACTGCCATCATTAATTTTTTGCCCCATTTGACATTTTAAGAAAAATATCTTTACAAAATACAAGGCATAATATTCATATTTAAAATAAATTGCACCCAACTCTTCTTCAGAATATAGTACAGTGGAAATGGTGATGTATCAGTCTAATTTTCTCTTCTGAAGATTAAGCATAATCTTAAATTCAGATTTGTCTTCCTTTTGGGTAAATATACTTGTGTGTGCATAGTAACTTGATAGCGCAGTTTCCTGTTATTGCTTTTGTTCATATTGAGACAAAAATATAATTGCTTGGGTCAATCTGAACAAATTCCAAGTGATGTTTTGAAATATTTGATCTTCTTGGTCTATTTGCTGCTATGTTTTGTTACTAATTTGCTGTTAGGTTTCAGTCAATAACTAGAGTAGTTCCAATTAGATTGTCAACAGGAGGTCTATTTGTGTGTTTGTTGCTATAGCTTTTCTTTGCATGGTTTATCCCAAACATGCCTAGATAAATTTATGCCCAAAATTTAGCCCAATACCTTCTAATCACAAATCAACTGAATTTGTGATTTTAAAAAGGGCATATAAAAGATGCACAGCTTTCAGTATGGACTAACCTGTGATTGTACCAATATAGCACATACTGTATATAGGGAATAATACAGCAGGACATGGAAAATTGTCTTGATTGCCTTATCCCAGCATAGTCAAAGTCCCTCCAGATATTGTATTGCTGTATTTTCTTTCTAGCACTTTTGAAAGTGGAATATTAAATGTAAGTATTGTGGACATTTTTCTTTGTCGAACAGAAAGAATATTTTAAAAATAATTAAGTCGAACAGAAAGAATATTTTAAAAATGATTAGGAGTAGGAAAAGAACTATTCCATAGATCTCCATTATATTTTTCCATCTTTCTGCAAATGTGAATGTGAAACTATTTGTTGGATGTTTCCTGAAACTTTTTTGTTTTTTGTTTTGAGAAACATTGTCACTGATTGGACTTAGAGACAACAATAAGCCAAATCTATAGTTATACCATTTTTCCCATGAGGAGAAATACTTATCAACAGAGAGTTGGGCTACAGTTGTACCAAAATAATTTTGGCCAGTATTTTACACTATTTTTGTAAGGAAAGTACAAAGTAGAAAGTAGAAAGTTCCAGAGATTTTTGAATAGTTGCTGCTCTATTACTGGTCACTTTTACCCAATATGATTGTTAAGTCATGGTAGTATGAAATCAAGAGTTTGGTGTAGTGATTAAGGTGCAAGACTAGAAACCAGGAAATTGTAAATTCCAGCCTTCCCTTAGGCATGAAATCCAAGTTGGGTGACTTAGAACTAGTCACTTTCTCTCAGCCCAGCCTCTCCAGCTCCCATGTCTGACAGCATTATTGTGGAAAAAAAATATGAAGGGGGAGAATTATACATGCTGTCTTGAGTCGAGTTGAGTTGAATAAATAAAGGATATTCATATAGCAATAATAACATATGACAAGAAAGTGTAGACACTCCAATGAGTGAGCATCTTGCATTTTCAAGTAAAGCTGTACAGATGTACAAGTAAGTACATCTGTACATAAGTAAGTCTGTTTTAATTTGAAGATGGTCTTTAACCTCTTCCACTGTAAATCTATCAGTGTGCAATTATTTATTTCTTCCATCTGGACAAATTATACAAAAATGACAGCTCAATATTATCTGTCCTGTATGTACTATTTGTGTCACTTCTATTATACTTGAAGTACCAAAACATGCAAGCTGATTTATACAAACCCTACTTCAATTCACAAGGCCACAGAATCAATTTGAAACTGCTCACTTTTGACTCAGATTAAAACAAATCTCAAGCACCTCTTTAAGGAGTTATCATTGGGATTTCATCTTCTCTGAATTGTGTGATATAGTTTGTGGCTAAGAAAGTATTTACAAATTTTTAAATGTTTAATTTGAAATAAAATAGGTATGCACACTTAGGTTTAAATTATACTTATCAACATTACATATTTAACCACATAATTGTGAATTAATTTATGAACAATGAATATAGTAATTAATGGAAAGATAAAAGATGGACAGAGTGCATCCCTTATTAGAATTTTGTAGAAGTCTTTGGCTATATTGCAGAATGAATTGTTGTGCCGACAGCTTTCTTTCAATTGCTGCTTCAATCTCCCCTCTCCTTGGAGAGATGCATGAAAAGGCTGGTTTTTTTGCCATACAAATAGAAATGTTCATTCATCCTTCAAGGATCCTAATGGCTCTTTCTGGGATGGAGGATAATACATATCTTCATATATCTCCATTCACTGCATGGATTGCAGCTAAACTTGTGCTGGGATCACTTTCAACAATTTCTATTCTCCAATATCAGGATATATTAGAGGAAAAGTTGTATTCCAGTGTGTCAGGAAGAGAACAATCTAGTGAAAAGAAGTTCAGCCATATAAACCAAATCTTTGCAGGGGCCTTAAACATTTTATTTTAAGTGTGTGGATGAGTAGGTGGATGCATGCACACACATATGTATGTATATTTCTGGAAAAAAATCTATGTATGTGGTCATTGAGAATCAACACAAACAAGTAGTTGCTCACTGTTAGCTAGAGAACTGGGATGTCGTGCAGCTCGCAATGAGCAAATCTTTGTTCTCCTAGCAACTTCTGGTGCTATGTAAATGCAACCAGTGGCACAAATTGTAAACAGTAACAGAGTCATGGAGAAAGAGGTTAGCACTGTAATGACCTGCAAGATGTGTGCTATGTTTGTATTCCTGCCCGTGGAGGACTCAAATTATACCGGCACCAAGTGCAAACTGATCAGATTGCTAGAGGATAAAGTGGGAGGACTAAAGGCATGTCTAGCCACTCTGAGTCTCATCCATGAAAATGAGGAATACCTCAGAAAGGCTGGAGTCTGTATTCAAATTAAACATAGTGGGGAAGAAACAACTACAAGGAAAAACGAAGCTTTAGAGCAGAGGTCCCCAACCCCTGGGCTGCGGACTGGCATTGGGATGCAGTGTGCCAGAAACCAAGCTGTCCAAGCAAGCGAAGCCTCATCCGCACCAGCATGAGATGCAGGCAGTGTGTGAAACCATTCCCCCCCTCCCATCCACAGAAAAGCCTCTCTCCATGGAACAGGGTCTGTGCCCAAAAGGTTGGGGCTGCTAGAGGAAGACCAATGGCAACATATCATTCAGAGGGGACACACACACACACACACAAACACTCCAACAGGAACAAATAAAAAAAACCCAAGAAGAGTGTCCCTGCCACTGGAGTTGAACAATTGATTTTATGTCCTCCCCCTGGAAGAAATCACATAGGCTTCTGAAGTAGGGTCTTCGTCTAGTGTTCCAATGACAGGAAGAAATGTAGCTCAGACTGTCACAAAAAGGAAAAATCTGCTGAGTTCCTCAAACAGAAAAGGGTGTGTAGTGTTGATTGGTGACATCTTTATCTCCCAAAAGGTGGAGGGGGGGAACCAGAGAGTCAATTATATTGAATTAATTCTTACTAATAGAGACAAAATGGTTAAGGGAATGTTAGTTATAGGAACTTTGGAGCATAATGATCATGTCATACTAGAATTCAGCATAATGCAGGGACAGGTGGCTGAACAAAGTCAGACTAGCATTTTAGACTTTAAGAAAGCTGACTTCAACAAACTAAGGGAAAGAATAGGAAGGGTATATATGGGTATATTAGAAGTAAAAACAGTATAGGATGGTTGGAATACTGTAAAAATGAGATAATAAAGGCCTAAGCAAAACTAATAGCACAGAGAAAGAAAAATAAGAGACTCTAGATGAGACCTGCATGATTGCACAAACTGAGGGACAGAGAATCTAATTTCTGAAATCTGCATCTTTGTCTTCCCCATGCTAATTATTGCAGCTAAGCCAGATATATCATTGATTTAAATTCAAATGAAGGAGAAATAGGCTTCCGTCTTTTCAATTTTGCATCCTTGATTCCCCCACCCCCCTTACTGGCACTCTACATATACCTCATGAGATTTTTAATATGAAATTTATTCTGTAAATCTGTGGGATTTGAAAGCTTTTATCTTATAAAATGGCATGACAGTAACCCTGACATAGAATGTAAAGGCACTGACTGTGGTAGTCAAGGACAATACATTATCTGAACAGTTTATTCAACTGAGCAGCTTTTCTGACGTTGCTTGCCATATATTCCAGACTCCGCAGATTGCTTTATTCAGCACTCTAGTTCTTTGCCACCTCCAGTGTTTGTCATGCTGCTGAAGTGTCACTTGGTATTTTTCTAATCCGTGCAAGCCTTGTTTTCAACAGGCAGAAGAAACTCGTACAGTCATCACTTAGACAAAACCATAGTCTGATCACTGCTTGGAAATGGAGCCTGGGTCAATCAAATAATTGTTGCTAAATTTCTTTTGTGACTTTATATAGTGCTGATTAATGTACATGTTTTCCTCTTGGACTCCCAACTCCTATTGAAAAAGGTTGCCGAGGCTTAGAGATCTTTGCTTAGATTCATCTTATGCTTTTGTTGCTCCTAGACCAGGAGGGTCTGCACCCAGTTGCTCATGCTTTAATCACTTTATCCCTTGATAACTGCAATGCACTGTCCACTACACCTCTACAGAAGTGTGTAAAGAAATGGTACATATTCTACCATTTTTGTAGAGGTGTTATTACAAAAGGTCCTGGAGAAAAATTTCAAGATCCCCTTGGAATCCACCATCTGGAATAGATTTATAATAGGTTCTACCTGGAATAGATTGATGTAATAAGT